GTGACATTATTGGCGAGGTTCTGGGGGAATAATGAGCAGGGATGTTTTGAAACTGGGGACACAGGTCGTCGGGCCCGCCGTTATTGGGCGAGACGCAGGGCGAGGTGTAGGGGGAGAAGGTGTCGGAAATGAAGCTGGCAGAGGAGCCGCTGCTAGCGGGGCTCAAGCAAAGCGGCTCGCGGTAGCCCTCGAAGCCGGGCACGGGCAGCGTGAACCTCGGGCTGGCGGCCACCACCCCTGCCAGGGGCGGCTGCTCCACCAGGAGGCCAGTGTCTCTCACGCGGAAGGGCCCCCCTGCCTGCATCAGTTCGTGGGATGGAGTGATCTCGATCCGAGGGCTCAGGCCCGAGGCCCCTGTTGGCTTGGCCGCCGGGCTCAGAAAGTTCTGGGGCCCCACCCTATCCGGCTCTCCCAATCGGCTGGGGGGCTCGCCAGAGAGACTGGCTAGGGGGCTGTATGGCTTGAGGCCATAGTCCAGTACATCATCAGGGTATGCGAGTCCGGAGGGTGGGCTGGCGACCTTATGTGCATTCGGTTCTTCTGGAAAGAGAAGGGGGGAGGGAGGGGTCTTTTAAGCCTCTAAAACAGAACTCCCGATGCAGAGCAATCACAGATTGGGTTTTGTCTCGTTTGTTTTTTAAATCCCCACCATGCCAAACCCCAAGCTAGAACCTCCTCCCTTCACAGAAGGAAACAGAGGCCACTTCATCCCGGATTCCTTGAACAGAGAGATCAAAGCGCAAAGACTTATCGTGCAGGTGCACGTGCACAGCTGGTCCGAGCCATGCAGCGTCAGCCAGAGACCGGGGTGACCAGCTGGGCTAATGGCTTCCAAACTTTTGTTTCTGTTTCAAGAAGAAATGCATTTCATTTCACAATTCGGTTCACAACGTCATACTCATTGGCAACTGAAACAAAAGTTTCACAAAACAATACTTACCCTGCTACATATGATGTGCTCTTATCTATCCTCCTGCCTGGAGTTATTTTGTTTCAATGCTGGTCATAACTCATTCAACAGATTTCCTGTCCCACCAGTGGGTCATGACCCACAGTTTGAAAAACACCGATCTAGGCCCATCTGATCATTGCACATGTACGATGCAGCTACGGGACGCAGAAGGGGACTGCACCAGCTCTGGGGACCATCGAGCTCTGGGTTCAGATCCCACATGTATATGCCCACGTGAAAAAAGTGGCTTAATTTCGAAGCAGGACTCCTGAGTCACATCTCATCATGTGCCATTTTACAGATGAAGAAACTGAGCTCCAGGGAGGGGAAGAGATTCACCCAATACAGAATGAACAGGATAGAAATTCCACAGACACGCCACTTGGCCCCCAAAAGCCAGAGCCATGGCTATATGGAGCCTCCCAAACTATTAAGATCAGTGGATACAGAATGACCTAATTTCTTCTCTGATTGTGGCCGCCTAGCTGAGGCTTCTGCTGCCACCTCAAAAGCACCCACAGCTGGGGAGTGAAATGAGGGAATTAGCTATCTGTTCCCACCACCCTTCACCGCGCCCCTCCTTCAAGCTCCCCAGTTCAGTGGAGGCCCCTCTCTGTCCTAACTTAGAGGTCAGGCTTGACACCTCCCTGTCATGCCCTTATGTCTGATCCACCAGCAAAGCTTCACCACTCTATTAAAATGTAAAACAAATTCAGGTGTCGCCCCCTCCTGCCATCCCCTCCCACTTGGACGGTTGCAGTCACTCCCTCCCTGGCCTCCCCATTTCTACCCGCACCCTCTACGGTCTGTTCTCCATGCAGCTGTCTAATGAAATGTCCATTGTAAAGTGAAATCTGCTTTAAAGGCTTCCCCAGATGTCCCAGGACAGTCCTTAACACACTTGCCCCCTGGCCCCACTCTCCCCACTTTTCCCGCAAGCTGATTCAGCACCAGCCCCGCTGACATCTTCACTATTCCTCAAGCAGCTCCTGCTTCAGGGTTCTTACATGTGACATTCCCTCTGCCCCGAAACTCTCCCCTGAAGATCTTCACCCGGCTGCTTCCCTTAATTCCTTCACATGCCAGCTCAGTCTGCCCCTCCTTGGACAGGCCCAAAAGGATCGTCTCCACCCCATTTCCCTGCCATCTTTTCTCCACTGACACCTGTTACAACCAGCTCATATCACATCAGATATTGTCTGCTTGGGGCATCACATCCTGCTAGATCAAGGGCAGGCAAACTATAGCTCATGGACGAAATTTGGCCCACAAGTTACGTTTGTAAATAAAATTTTATTCGAACAAAGCCACTCGCATTTGTTTACATTTGGCCTATTGCTTGCTTCCACACTCTAACAGCAGAGCTGGCAGTTGTGCACAGATGACCCTCAATTTCTTTGGTGCCCTTTCTGGTCTATCCTGGGGTAAGTGCTGTCTGGTTTAGCTGAGCTTATCTCATAGGGGTCAGACGGTGCCCTACCCCACGTAAGAGCCCAGAAACGGCTTTCCACAGCTCTTAGGGCAAAGATAAATTCAACTAGACCAGGCGGGTCAGGCCCCTGACCGCCCCTCTAGCCTTGCCTCGCTCTGCCCTCTCCTCTCTCTCTCTGGACTCCAGCCAAACTGCCTGTTTTCTCTTATTAGAAGGCACCAAACTCCTTTCTGCCCCAGGACCTTTGCATTTGCTGTGCCTGCTGCCTCAAGAGTTCCTCCCCACCTGCATTCAGACCTCTTCTCTCTAAAGCCACTCCTCTCCAGCTTGGCCGAAGTATCACGTGCTCCCAGAAGCCTTTCTGACCTTGACGAGCTCAGACCCACTCACACTTCCCTGTTCGGCTCCATTGCACTTCTCACAATACCAACCAAGTACTTCTGCAGTTATTTGTGTATTGTCTCTCTCTCCCCCAACTCCCAGCCCCACCCCCATCAGTCAGTCAATTCCATGAGGATTCTCTCACCCCCACCAACTGTATTCCTAGCACCTGGAAAGGACCTGCCACAAAGCAGGCCCTCAAAAAGCATCTGTCAGTCGGCTGAATAAATTAACAAAGCTAGTTTAGAAAAGTCTGTGTGAAATATTTAAACTACTTCTCAAAGATGCTAACATCCAAAGCAACAGGTGGAACGATATAACCTCAAGAGAGGGTGATTTGGTAAAATCTATCAAAACTCCAAATGCACGCATCCTTGGAACCCAGCAGTGTCGCTTTCAGAAACTTATCCTGCAGATAGTCCCTCATGTGTGCAAAATGAGTGTGCATAAATGTAGTCAGTCCAGCCCTGTTCGTAATCCCAAAAGCCTGGAAGCAACCTACTGCCCATCAGCCGGGAATGAGTTAAATTTTGTTGTAAATAAAATGGGGTATAATACAGCTATAAAAAGGGTTGAAAAAGTTCTTTTTGCATTGATATAGAATGATGACGAGATAGTGCTAAAGATGCAGACAGTTTGCATAGTATAAAAACAGAGGGTAAGAGAGTGTGTACGCACACACACACACACACACACAATGCTGATGGACGCACAGGCCTTCTCTGGGAGTTACAGGTCACAGTGACGTCCTCCAGGGAGGACTAAGTAATCAGAGGCAGTGACAGGGCAGAAAAGAGACTCTGATTTCTGTATTATGTAGATACGGAAACATAATTTCCAAAGACACATGTTTTTATTTCATTTTAAAGGTGGGGGGCTGCCATAACATGAGATAAAGAAATGACACCCTGGTTTAGGAAGCAGGAAATTGAGTTGTCATCCTACTCTGCCACTGACTACCTTGGAAAAGTCCCCCACCCACTCGAAGTCAAGACCGCCTCATGTATAACAGGATGGCGTTAAACCAGATCAGTCTCCTTGGTTGCTTCTGGCTCTGAAATCTTTCATTTTTCTAGCTCGATTCTGTAGGGCCCAGGGTTCTCGTGAAGCTACAGTTCAATATAAACGTGTTTTTGCGCTTGCGCGTGCACCCACAAACACACATCTTCCCCACAGGTAGCAGTGTAGAGTTTTTAATCTAGAAAGAAATCAACATCAAGTCCGTGTCTGACAACATTCTGCTAATCCACTGCCCTGTGCACCAGCAAAACAAAACCCAAAACGCCTCTTAGCAAAAATTCCGGCCTTATCAGAAAAACTGCATTACATCTTATCAGAAGCACCCCCTCAGGGGCTGACGTGAACTGTCACAGAAACTCCGGCCTTACACACACACACACCCCACGCACACTCCCGGGCAGCGCTGAGAAAGAGAAAGGCCAGTTTGCTGAGCAAAAAGCCTTTAAAGCCTTTGCCTTGGTTTTAATTAATCCAAGCAGCAGAGTTTCTTCTTCTTTTCTCTCCCCAAGATTTTGAAAGTTTAACCACAAGCAGGGAATATGGAGGTAATTTATAATCATTTAATTCTCAGTCCCCTGGGCATCTGACAGTAAATCTCACAGACAAAAGACTCATCATTAGGATATTTCTTTAAGTAGCGAGGATTCTCTGCTCTTTCTTCCCAAAGAACTGCCATCCTCGCAGACGACTCCCTTACAGCCCTCGCTGTGGGCACAGCACTGGGCGAAGTTAGCTCCATCTCAGAAGCACCAGATTCTCTCCAAAAAGTCTCCAAAAAGCTTGCTTTTCTTACCACTTGCATGATCTTTGCTATATTCATGTACCACCCATAAATATTATTTACTTAATATTTCTATTTAAATGTATTCGCATATTACCTTAATTTTTTTTAAAAAGGAAACTTCACACCGCTGCCACAAATGGAAAATCAGTGTCACCTCCATAAATAGAAGGTAGGGTAAAAATACAATAAAAATAAAAGTTACTAAATTCAAGCGAGACACTGATGCCGGCCAAAGGCTCTGAGCCTGAGGCCCACGTTTTTCCTCTTCAGTGCTCTTACCTTAGATAATTTATACATACAGATAATTTATACATCCAGATTTTGAGGATAGAGTTCAGTGAGTTTTGCCAAATGTTCTACCCCCTTGTCACCACCACCATAATGAAGACGCAGGTCATTTCCACAATCCCAGAAAGTCTACTTTTTTAAAGCTGGAGGTGGGAGGAGGAACAGCAAGTGTCAGGAAGAAAGGCGTTGAAGACATAGTAGCACCTGCGACTCCACTCCTCCCGACCAGATTACAGAGAAGCACCACAAGGCAGGTGGCTCTCATTACATGCGATGTCCTCATTGGTGGGCCCCGTAAAACCATCCCACTTGCCATGGGAGGTACCTGGCCCACACTCGAGCCATCGGTATCCAGAAAGAGGCCGAAGGTGGAAGGAGAGAGGGGGGAGCCAGAGCTTGCGGCTCTAGGTCCTGTGTGCCCCCACGCTTCTGCACATGCTTGCCCCAGAACTCCCTTCCATCCCTCCTGTCCTGCACACAGTGGCCCACAAGACTACTGGGAGCATCAGCCTGTGAGTCAAACCTGAATCGATTCAGAAATGAGACATCTGGCCACCGTCAGCCCTCCCAGGTCAGTCATCTCCGCAGCAGACATCTGAAAGTTCTAGTTTTCATCACCTCTTCCCTCATCAAGTTCCCAGGTATTTACCCCAACCTCTAGACCCCGTGAATATTTGGGGAGC